GGTAATCAATACCATCAAAGGAGATACGGAATGCGGTTGGCACTATTGGGGCACTTTGGAGCATATAAAGAAAATTCTTAATGGGCTACAATTCCACTTGACACATGTTTTTAGAGAAGCGAACTCTGTGGCTGACTCACTGGCCAACAGGGCTGTCCAAGATGGCTTTTCCTCTGATTTTTCTGATTCCCGCTACCTGCTGCTGTAAGGATGAATGTTGGGCAAGACCAGCGAGGCTTACCTTTTCTTCGAACCAAATCAGTGCTGATTTTTGATGATTGTGGTTAACTTGGGGGTACCTTTACCTCTTAGCTTGAGGTGCCTTTTTGTGTCCAGCCTCCGGTTATAGGCTATTGGTCTTAACAATTTTTTTTGTTGTGGTGGTTTTTGACTGCTGTCCGGTTTGGATTCCAGCTGGGGCTTCCTATTTTCCTGCTTTGTCCAGCTGGTGGGCTGCCTTTTCTTGGTTTTCATCTAGAGTGGCTGTCTTTATTCAGCTGGGCGTTTCCCTGTCGGTTCCCCCCTCTACTGGTTTGTTGCTGGGTGTCTGCTTGCTCATAGGTTCTGCTCTACTGGTTTTCAGCTGGATTTTCCGTTGGTGGTAACTTCCCTAGCTGGACCTTCAGCTGGTCTTCCAACAGTCTTATTCCTTCGTATTTTCTTTACCTTCTCTTGAAGGATTAAAGCCATCTTAGGCCTTTCCCCTCAAAAAAAAAAAAAGGGGTTTAGGGTTTAGGATGCAGGAGGCAGTTATTTCATTCTAGAGAGAGAAGCTCTGACTTCTCTCTAGACACTGTTCACGAGTTGTCAGATCTTCCTTCTTTCTGGCTGATCTTTCATCATTTGTTTGCATTTCCTTTGATTTCTTACTGGTTTTGATCGAGTTAGTATGGATACTGGCCAGCAATCTCGGCAAATACCCCCCAAACCTCCTGACATTACAAAAAATTTTGCCTCTCTGTTCAAGAAACCTTCAAATATGGAAAATTCTGTAATGATTCCTAATACTTCAGAGATTATTTCCTTGACAAGTGTTGATCCTTTGGGATGTAATAACTCCAATCCTATGCCTCTTACAACTCAATCGAATAGAAACAAGCCGACTGTTTAGATTCTTCCTTCGACTGTGCCATCTTTGTCTGAGTCAGGAATTCAGGTTCCTTTTGATTCCTTAAAAAAATATTAGGGTTTAGGGTTTTTTAGGGTTTAGGGTTTGGGGTTTGGGGTTTGGGGTTTGAGATTAAAGAAGCTTATTAAATTGCAGGATGTATGTGTAGTTGCACTTCAAGAGCCTAAATTGTTGGTTTCCAAATTGATTCCTTTTGGTAGGAGTATTGGTCTAGAACACTTCTGTTCCAATGCTCTAGCAGAAAGAAATATTTGGATTTTATGGGATGAGAGAATCAGATTAAGGGTCTTATTTGAACATGCCCAAGTATTAACTGTGGAAATAACATTTATGACCTCAGTTGTATTATGGGTTTCTATTGTATATGCCAGTTGTGATCTGTTTGCAAGAAGGCTCTTATGGGATCACTTGTTGAATATTGATATCCCTTCTGATGTTCCTTGGATGGTGGTGGGTGACTTCAACACAATTTTATCCTCTGCTGAAAGATTGGGGGGGAGCTTCTCCTTCTTAGTTATCTATGGAGGATTTTGGTGATTTTTTGAATCATAGGGGTCTATTGGATGCTGGTTTTATGGGGAACAAATTTACATGGTGTGATAATAGAAAAGGAGGTATCCGGATGAAGCAGAGGTTGGATAGAGCCCTGATTAATCCTTTCTGGAATTTAAATTTTGACAGTCTGGAAGTGGTTCACTTGGCACACTTGGCAAGAGGTGCTTCTGATCATAGTCCTTTATTATTGAAAATCATGGATGCTCCTCTTCAGAAGAGAATGTCCTACTTTAGATTTCAAGATATGTGGTGTGATCATGAGGGTTTTATGGCTATGATAGCAGCTAACTGGTGTGGACAGTATTCAGATAATCCAATGTCAAATTTGTTTATTAAGATGAAATATTTGAAAGCTCATATAAAGATGTGGAACAAAGAGGTGTTTGGTAATCTCTTTGAGAAGTTGAGAGATTATGAATAGAAGATAAGTTTGGTTGAACAAGATTTAGACCAAAACTTTTCTGATCCAAAAGCTATGGAGTTAAAAGCCATGCAAAGTGAGATGGATGATTGGTTAAGAAGAGAGGAAATTTACTGGAAACAAAAATCAAATGTAAAATGGGCTATTCAGGGGGAGAGGAATACCAGATTCTATCACTCTATTGCTAAAAGTAGAGTTGTCAGGAATAAAGTCTCAAGAATCAAGAATAATGAAGGGATCTGGGTGTATGGAGACAAGCAGGTAGCTGAGGTGGCTGAGGAATTTTATGTTGAACTCTATAAGTCAGAGAATCATACAATCAATGAACAACTACTTGATGTCATTCCTAAGACTATAAGTCAAGAGGATAATGAGAAGCTAACTGCTGAGGTTACTTTGGAGGAATTGAAAGATGTGGTATTTTCAATGGCTACTGAGAGTGCTCCGGGGCCAGATGGTATGTCTGGTAAGTTTTTTCAGTTTGCCTGGGATATAATTAAAGTAGATGTGGGTAGAGCTATAAACTTTCTGCTTAAAGGAGGCTTAATTCCCAAATCTGTGAACTCTACTTTGTTAGTGTTGATTCCTAAGAAGGTGGTTCCTACTTCCTTTTTTGATTTCAGACCCATAAGCTTATGTAACTTTTTATATAAGATTTTTACAAAGCTGCTTAACATGAGACTAGCTTCCCTCCTTCCTGGTTTAATCTCTGAAGAACAACATGGTTTTGTTAAAGGGAGAGGGATTGGGGATTGTGTAGCACTGGGACAGCTTCTTGTTGGTGAATTAGATAGGAAGGTTGAGGGTGGAAACATTGTTATGAAGCTGGATATGATGAAAGCATATGACAGGATGGAATGGGATTTTTTGTTGAAAGTACTGGCTAGATTTGGCTTTTCTGATTTGTTCACTCAGATTATTTTGAATTGCTTGAATAGTCAGTTTTTTACTGTATGCTTAAATGGACAAAGATATGGTTATTTTGCTAATTCAAGGGGTTTAAGGCAGGGAGATCCTCTCTCTCCCACTTTATTCATCCTGGCTGAAGAGGTGTTGAGTAGAGGTTTGAGGAGAATTTATAGTCAAAATTTGGTAAAACATTTTCATATTGGGAGAGGAACAACAGTTGTCAGTCACTTACTGTTTGCTGATGATACCCTGGTCTTCTTAAGGGGTACCAAATATTCTATTTTAAATGTAATGAATTTTATTGCCCTTTATGAATCAAGCTCTGGTCAGAAGGTTAACAAGCTGAAAAGTGCAGTGTATTGTTCTAAGCTGATTTCTGTAACCAGAAGGAATAGGCTGGCTTCTGTAATGGGGATTCCTTTTAAGGACTGTCCTTTTACTTATTTGGGATGTCCCATTATCAGAGGAAGGGTTAAGAAATGCTATTTTGAAGAGGTGGTGGAAAGCTTTAGAAAAAGAATTGAAGGTTGGTATGCCAGATTGTTATCTGGTATGGGAAGAATTGTTTTGATACAATCAGTTCTTAGCTTAATTCCTATTCATATGTTGGCTTGTTTGAAAATTCCAAAAGGTATTCTGAATAAGCTGAATTCTCTGATTGCTGACTTTATTTGGTCTAGTCAGATGGACTCTAAGAGAAGGCATTGGGTATCATTGAAGAACATTTCAAAACCCAAATTAGAAGGTGGCTTGGGGATTAGAAGTTTTGATGATGTTCAAGCAGCATTTAGAATCAAACAAGTGTGGGGAATATTAAATGGATCTTCTTTGTGGGCCAAAGTATTTAAAGAAAAGTTTCTTCAGGGGAAGCACATGCTGAGATGTGGAAATACAAGAGCTGGTCAATCCTTCAAAATATTGAGGCCTTGGTTTAAATTTACCATTCAGAATTCATTGAAAATTATTGGAAATGGCCAGTGTACTGATTTTTGGTGTGACTCACAGATGGATAGTGGTCCTCTGATTTTGAGAACTAGGATACCTCCCTTGATTTTTCCCAGAATTAATGAGGTATGGAATGGTGTGGAATGGAGGCTAGATGAAGTAGCTGAATGGCTTAACCCTCAGATTTGTTCTGAGATTGAGAGTATGACCTTTATAAGATCTGAGAGTTCAGATAAACTTGTTTGGAGGCACACTAATTCAGGCTGTTTTACTGTTAAATCTGCCTGGAGTCAAATTAGGGAAAAAGGGATCCAAAATGAAATAGCTAAATGTATTTGGAAACAGAAAATTTTCCCTAGTGCTCAGTTGTGCACTTGGAAAATTTTCAGAAAGGCTTTGACTACTGATGATAGAATACAAGGAGTGGGTGTAGCTATGGCTAGTAAGTGTGTACTGTGTGGCAGGGCTGAGGAAAATGTCTCCCATCTATTCATTGACTATATTGTGGCTCGAGCTGTTTGGAGGAAAGTTGCTGTGGAACTGGGGTTTGATGTTCTGTTAGGAGAATCTCCTCTGTGTAGGTTTCTGAGATTGATGAGAAGGTTTAAAGCCCCTTCACTCAGTCATAGTTTGACAAGGGGAGTATCTATGTTGATTTTTTGGGCCTTGTGGAAGGAGAGATGTAGGAGGAAGTATGATGGGGTGAGTTTGACTGCTCATGCTATTTTCTTACAAGTTGTGAGTGCTTTGAGATGGCAGGCTTTTCTTATAAGGCCTGAAACTGAGGATGACTGTAAGGGAAGGGCATTCTTGAAAGAGTTGAAAATTAAAAATCCTTTTACCTTAATCACTAAGGTTAAATGGATTAAATGGGGAATTCCTCCTGCAAATGTATTGAAACTTAATGTTGATGGTGCCTCTAAAAGTAAGTCTGGAATGTCAGGTGGTGGTATAGTGGTGAGGAATCATGAAGGGGATGTTATCTTAGCTGCTGCTCTCTATTATGGACTGGGTTCAAATATGCTAGCTGAGTGCAAGGCAATGTTTGATGGTTTATTGATGATTATACAGCATGGCTTGTCAGCATTTCAGATCATTGTGGAATCTGATTCTCTCACTCTTGTTCAAATGGTGAATGGATTAGCTGCAATCCCATGGAAAATGCAACATTTGCTGGAGAGAATTAATTTGTTGATTGGAATGTTGAATTTACAAATACATCACATTTATAGGAAGCTAATGGCCTTGCTGATTTTTTAGCTTCCTTTGCTGTCCAGAACAGAAGAGATACTGAATTCACAGATGGCACTGGGATACCTAAAGCTGGAAGGGCTATTCTACAGCAAGATCAGAGTGGATTATCTACTGTTAGAATGAAAAGAATGATTTTTGAGCAAAGACAGGGTATAGGCTGATGATCAGCGCAATTCTCTGCTCTGCTGCTGCTGTTCTACTAGCATTTAAAGCAAGCTGCTTCATTGATTTCTCTCAGCAGGATGTAGGAAATTCAACTAACCATTGGTAGTACACAGGAAAGGATTACATATGGGGTTATGATGGAGGTTTTTGAGTGTTTCAGCTGGAAGCAAATCAGCTAAAGCACTCTGGTGTGGTTTCAGCTGGTTTGTTACTGCCTTGAATTGGGAAGAGGTTTCAGCAGGAGGAAGAGAAAGCTGCACAAAGGGAATACATATAGAATTACCTTTTTACCCTTGTATAGTTTTTTGATAAATGTTTCCACAGTCATTGTTTTATTTTAAAAACAGTGACTGCTTTGCTTCTTGTAATTTTTGCATTCAATAAATAAAACTCTCTATTTTACCAAAAAAAAAAAAAAAAAGGGTTTAGGGTTTAGGGTTTAGGGGTTAGGGTTTAGGGGTTAGGGTTTTAGTGTTTTTAGGGTTTAGGGTTTAGGATTTAGGGTTTTAGGGTTTTAGGGTGTAGGGTGTAGGGTGTAGGGTGTAGGGTGTAGGGTGTAGAGTGTAGGGTCTAGGGTGTAGGGTGTAGGATCTAGGGTGTAGGGTGTAGGGTCTAGGGTTTAGGGTTTAGGGTTTAGGGTTTAGGGGTTTAGGGTTTAGGGTTTAGGGTTTTAGGGTTTAGGGTTTAGGGTTTTAGGGTTTAGGGTTTAGTGTTTAGGGTTTAGGGTTGTTAAAGGGTACTACAAAAATCATGTGAAGGTAAATATCACGTATCTCCTCTATTTTATTATCTTTTTAATGCTTAGGAAGAATGACATATGTCTGAATTTAAGTCACATCAGTTTTCTTTTTGTTTTTTTTTTGGGAGGAGAAGGGGAAGGGGAGGGGGAACATCAGTTTTCTTTTAGTGCGTTATCTTTCTCTTAATTATCTTTACCAGAAGGAGCACAAGAGGCAGTGATTTCTTATATAAATGTATTATACAGTTAAGTCTCGCAGTTGCAATTTGTTACGAACTTGCAGTTCACATATGATACTTTTAATTTTGTCTTAAATTATATCAAAAAATTGATGCGGACATTGGGATGCAGGCCATGCTCACAAGAGTCAACTCGATAACTGGGGTGCCATATAAAGATGATCCCACCATTTTTGCATGGGAGCTAATGAACGAGCCTCGTTGCCAAAGTGACCTATCTGGACGAGCTATTCAGGTTCTTTCCCGTCTAAATTATATTAGATTTTTAGATTTAAATAATATTACTTCTCTCATAAACTTGGGCAAAGATTAATATCTTCACTACATGGAAACAAGATACTTTTTAAATATTTTTTAACTATCATTTCAATTGATAGATATGAGATTCGAATCAGTAACTTTCATTCCCTCAAATTTGTGTAAACCATCTCACTCAAATAGACCTGTAGGTCTAAAACAAAAGAAGAATACTAAATCTCTTGATTAAAGATTAATTCATTCAATATTTCATTTTTTAAAGGACAAATTTTCACATTTAAATTATGTGTTTAGATATCCAAATACCCCACCCCGTCCATCTCAAATCTTCTTTTTGAATAACACACACGGTCACAACATTGACTTTGTTTCGTACCGAGGGTAGGAGCCAAGGCTTATGTAGTGGGGGCAACTTCTAACTCATTATTAAACTAAAATAATAATGCTAAAACTATTTAATTTTATCGCAAACATAGTGATCTGTCAATATTTGGTTTCAATCTTAGGATATTGTTGTGATCGTGTAGCAATTATGGTGAATAGTAAGGAATCAAACAATTAAGAAAGCAGGAGAAAATAACACACAAAGATTTACGTGGTTCGGCAATGTGCCTACATCCACGAGAGCGAGCGGCCGTTCTATTCCATTATTGAAGTAGGGTTACATCTTATGTAGGCAATGTGCCTACATCCGCTCTGCTACGTTCCGCTTCGCTCCACTCCGCTACGCTCCGCCCACTCCGGCAACTGCCCCCACACCCTTCAATGTGGCTTCGCCACTGTTTGGCACACACGCTTGCACCCAAATCATAAAATTTAGCTCGAGTTACATTGAGATCCATGTGTTTCGACGATGAAGAGAAGGCATCCTCTTTAAATTTGTTTGATATTGACATGGCATGAACTATGCGAAGTACTACTATTTCTTTGAGAAGGGGACTTCCAACTCGTCCCAAGCAAATAAAAAATAATGTTACAAAGAGGATTATAAGAGTTCCAAGACTCCATTTAATGCGCCCTATCAAAAAAAAATTGCATGCAAGTTCGAGAGCAATGACTAATGTGAAAATTTGATGAATCACCTTCTCGCCATACCATTTGTCTGTCTTTCAATGTAAATTGAGTAAGGTCTGCGAAAGATTTGATATGTTATTTTGTATGTTCTTTTACAAGATAATTTTTTAACTTTAAACGTTGTTCACATAATGCAATAGAATCTAGATTCTTTTGTTCAAAATGTTTTTTGTCATAAAAATCATCCAGCACGACATTGCCGACTTCCAAGGCTCATAAATATATCTTTTGCACCACACCTGCTGATTGTTTGGGATTTAGTCATGACATACTTGATTTTTTACAGGAGTGGATTGTAGAAATGACGGCCGAAGTTAAATCCTATGATAAAAATCATCTTCTGGAAGTTGGGCTTGAAGGATTTTATGGGGAATCGATGCCCGAAAAGAAACAATACAATCCAGGCTACCAAGTTGGGACGGACTTCATTTCCAATAATTGGATCCCTGGAGTCGATTTTGCTACAATTCATCTCTACCCGGACCAATGGTTTGTAACTTCTAGTCTGGAAAGAAAAACATTGCACGTTGCATAAAAAAAAGATAAACAGTTAAATTCTACTTACCAGATACCAAAAAAGAATAAAAAAAACTCATACCATGTGTGGACCTAATAAATAATAACTGGGCGTAGCATTTGAGAAATGACGTGAAACTCATTGTGATATTTTACTCTATTCACTATACGGGCATTAGACTCACCTTAATAATATTGGTTTGATGTGCGCACGGGATGGCAGGATGCCTGGTTCAAATGATCAAGCCCAAGCTAATTTTGTGGATAGGTGGATCCAAGCCCATATCCTAGACTCCAAATCAGTGCTTGGGAAACCACTCCTGGTGACTGAGTTCGGCAAGTCTTCGAGGTCAGCTGGGTACAGTGTGGGTGCGAGGGACTCCTATTTTGGGAACATATATAACACAATCTACAGTTGTGCAAGAACAAGTGACGGCCCATGTGCTGGTGAGCTGTTTTGGCAACTCATGGCCCAAGGAATGGACAACTTTAGCGATGGTTATGAGGTTGTCTTGGAACAGAGCCCTTCAAGTGCTGCAATCATTGCTCAACAATCTCACAGGCTGTCTGCTCTTAGCTAGACTTCATAATCTGCCCAGAAAATAAGGAAAGCATTAAATGTATTTAATGATGTCAAAAATCAGAGAATAATGATAACAATAATAGTTGGTATGCGCAGGCCTATAATGTTAGTGACCGTTTATGCAAGCCATATGCTTTTATTGCTAATATTATACAAATAAAGTCTTCATTTCTTTTCTTCAAGATCTGACAATAATTTTTCACAGCTTCACCCTAATTCTGATCTCTCACTTTGAACCCTATTTTAAAATAGATAGACTAGAAACAACTTTAATGAATAAACATTGTAGCTCATTCAACCTTCACATCGAGACTAGATTTACCGTAAAATTTGGGTCCTATTGAAAACAAAAACTAACCATCTAAAAAAGAGATCATAGTTAGTATATTTTGGTGACAAATTTTGGTATTTTACGATTTAAGGATGAAAAGGTGAGCCAAACACCTAATTGTTGGTTAGAAAAATATTGTGGCACACAAAACCAAACAAATACAACAAGAACGAGAAGAATAAAATATTGAAGAAAAAATTTCCTACCAGAAATTGAATTGAGCGAAAAGATTTTTATTGTAGCTACAAATGTCACAACAACAGATGTATATTGAGTGGGCAAAAATATTGTTGCCCTTAAAGATATCATAATGAACCTTGCCTTGTGATGACACTGAGATCTTATACTTAGTATGAACCAAACACATACAATGCTCGCAAAAACAATATATCAAACACAAAGTAGACACAAGTTTGTAGGACAATGTGCCAATTTTTTACTTCTCAGCAAGTACAAGGATTCTAACTAAAGGCCTTTAAAAAACACCCCAAATTTTTTCTTAGGGTACTACAGAACCTAGTATCAATATTTAAACCTACAATTGCAATTACAAGTCAACTGCCTAGGTAATGCTATCTCCAGCGTTGGTTAAATCAACCAATGCAGTTGACATTCCCAATTGCTAGGACGTGTTGACACCAATCAGATTCGGCCTCAAATGTTTGGGGTGATTTTCCTGTAAACCACCATACTACTGAACAAATTAGAAATCCCTTGCATGGTTGGAGCAGTTGTTTTCGAGTAACCGCTGTATAAGTCAGCCAACAATCACTCTTAACCTTCCACATAGTTAACAATTGTCATTCTTGTCAGCCCACAACAACTAATCTTTCCCTACCAGTATGCCAAGCCCTGCCAATAAAATTTTACAACCAAATCGTACAAGGAACCAAAAAATCTAGGGGTTTGAGGTTCAAGGCTTGGGGTTTGGGGTTTAGGGTTTAGTTATCGAAGATATTTGGTCAGACCCTAATTGACAAATGTGCCTATGGGAAACCTTCCCTAGGAGTAAATTGAGAATTTATTACTACTCGGTGGATACTGAAAGGGGAATTTACAGTGGGAATTCTGGATCATCGGCATGTGTTGATTAGGTTTTCACTCTATGAGGATTACGTGAAGACTTGGCTAAAAGATGCCACTTATATCGAAGGATTCTTGTTTAGGTTTTTCAAATGGTTCCCTGAATTTCAACCTGGTGTTGAGCCTTCTGTAATTCCTGTATGGGTGTCCCTTCTTGGGTTGCCCATTCATCTTTTTAATCATGATAGTCTGAGGGATATTTTGAGTCTAGTAGGAAGGATCTTGGTGATCGACAATTCGACTTTGTAGTTAACACGTCTTGAGGTAGCGAGGGCTTGTGTAGAAGTTAATCTTCTAGAGAATAATCCTAAAAGATTCTGGTTAGATATGGGAGATTCGTCTGGGAGATGGCAGAGAATTTGTTATGAAAAGGAAGGGAGGTATTGTTCTATTTGTTTGAAACATGGACATAGTGATGAGGATTGTAGAAAAGGGAAGAAAATGGAAGGAGGATGATTGCCTAATGATAAGGGGGAGATCCCTATAAAGGACAATAAGGAAGAGCCTTGGAGAGTGGTTAAAGGAAAAGGGAAAAAGCAAGAAAATTAGTTGGCTAATTTGCAAAAAGGAGAAGTACTCATTGCCAAAGAGGGGAAGACGCGAGTCTCAGAGGGAGGATAGGATTGTCTAATATCCATAGGGAAAGGTAAATGTGTTATGGAGGAGGTTAGTGATCATTTGGGGTAAGGACGTATCTTCTTGTTCAGTTGCTGTTCAAGAAGAGGGTATGTGGTCTTTAGGGGGTAGGCGAATAAAGAAATCAGTGCTGTACTAGTTAATGTGCAGGTGGGAAATGTTGTTCCCTCACCAAGGAAATCATGGGGAGAGAAGTGTGAAATGGATATGGGGGAGATAGGAGATGGGGGTGCTAAGGTTGCAAGTATTCAAGAGGAGAAAAATGGGTGTCTACGTGAACTGCTAGGTAATCAAAGTCCTGTTCAGGAACTGGAAATGGAGGTTGTTGGTGTCGAGGAAGGATGGAATTAGGAGGTAATTCATTAGAAGGAGGAGCTTTACAGTCTTTATGTGGTTTGAACATGCAGTGTTCTCCTTCTTTACGTTCTTTTTTTTTGGTGGATCATCAATTTGAGGAAAGAGAGGGGTAAAGGGCCATTAGATGACAATAGGGGATTGTTTGTGCTGAAAGAACCTCCTGATAGAGGATATTGTTTTGACAAGGGGAGTTCTAATAGTTGTGAAGTAGCTATGGATACTGAATGCACAAAGGTATCTTTACCTGAGGAAGGTGAGGAGGTTCAGAATAGGGTAACCCATGGAGGTAAGGCTTATTTACCTTTTAAATGATTAATATTCTTTCTTGGAACTTAAGGGGAGAAGGTAAAGCTACTTAGAGAAGGAGAATTAAGAAGATAATTTTGTTAAATGATGTTTGTCTTATTGTGATTCAAGAGCCTAAGCTTAGTGCTCAGAGATTGCTTAAGTTTGCTAAATTTTTAGATCTCAGAGGTTTTTGTTATAGTGAGTTGGCTGAGAGGAATATTTGGCTGTTATGGGATGATAGAGTGGAGGTAAGGATGTTATTTGCACATGAACAATCTTTGTCACTGGAAGTAATTTTTTTGCAGTCTAAGCTGTGTTGGCTTTCTGTAGTTTATGCAGCTCGTGATTATTTGTTGAGGAGACCTTTGTGGGGTCATTTGAGGAATATTGTAATCCTTTCTAGTATTCCTTGGATAATGATGGGTGATTTTAATACAGTTTTGAATTATGCTGACATGCTTGGTGGAGCTCCCGCTTCCTTTGTTTCTATGGAGGACTTTAGAGTATGTGTGGATGATGGGGGGTGGTTTGATTATGGTTTTGAAGGAAGTAGGTTTGCCTGGTGTAATGACCATGGGGGGAGTAGCAGGATGTGGCAAAGGATTGATCGAATGTTTGTTAATTCTATTTGGAATTTGACTTTTGAAAAAACTGAAGTTTTGCATTTGGCTAGGGGTGGTTCAGACCATTGTCCTCTTTTGGCCAAGATTTTGGATACTCCAGTTGTACCTAGGGTGTCTTATTTTAAATACCAAGAAACGTGGAAGGAGAATCCTGGTTTTTTGCATTTGGTAAGTGCTACATGGGATGTGACTTTTTCAAGTAACCCAATTGAGAATGTCTTTTTAAAGTTTAAGAGACTAAAAGTTCAATTGAAAGTTTGGAACAAGGAAGTCTTTGGCAATATCTTTGATAAGGGCAAAGGAAGTTGCTTTGTTGGAGGCTAAGCTGGTCATGGAGAGGGATCCTAATGCAGCAAATGAAGCAGTTTTGGAGGAGGAAAAGAAGGGTTTGGATGATATGTCAAGGTTGGAAGCAATTTTTTGGCGACAGAAGGCCAATGGAAAATGGGCAATGGAAGGGGAGAGGAATTCTAAATTTTACCTTGCAGTTGCAAAAGGTAAGGTAGTAAGGAACATAATTAAGAGGATTCAAAATGAGAGGGGCGTGTTGGTGCATGATGAGAAGGAGATGGCCCAAGTTGCAGAGGTTTTTTTTCTCTACTCTCTATAAGTCAGAGGATGTATTCCTTAAGCTGAAATAGAGGAGGATGCATTTGAGATGGTGGAACAAAAACGTATTTGGAAATATTTTTGAAAGAATAAAGAAACAGGAGAATGATTTATTGGAAGCTGAGAGAAGGATAGATTTAGCTCCAACCCATCATGCTCAGTGAGCTTTGGAAGTTGCACAAACACAGGTGGATGATACTCTAAGGTTAGAGGAGTTTGGAAGCAGAAATCTAATATGCAGTGGACTTTGCATGGGGAAAGAAGCACAAAACATTATCATGTTATTGCACGAGGAAAATCAGTGAGAAATTAGCTTAGGAAAGTGAAAGATGAGGATGGAAATTGGTTAGTTGAAGAGCATCAAATGGCTGCCTGTGCTGAGTGATTTTTTTTCCAAGCTTTATGCAATTGAATCACATACTATGCAAGAAGAACTTTTTTCAGTTATTCCCTCTTTAGTCTCTACTGAAGATAATTCTATATTAACAACGTTAGCAACTATGGACGAGCTCAAATCAATTGTCTTTTCTATGTCAGCTGATAGTTTGCCTGGGGCAGATGGGTTTTCTGGCAAATTTTTCCATAGCACATGGGAAATCATTCAAGAGGATATCTTGGTAGCTGTGAATCATTTTTAATAAGGAGGAGAAATACCAAGGTCAGTCAATGCAACCTTGCTAGCACTTATTCCTGAGAATAATAACCCAACATCATTTGCAAAGTTCAGGCCAATTAGTTTATGCATTTTCTTTTATAAGATATTTACAAAGCTGTTAGCAACAAGATTGAGTGTTTTATTGTCTTCGCTTATATCGGAGGAACAACATGGATTTGTGAAAGGTAGAAATGTAGGTGATTGCATTTCTATTGCATAGTTTATGGTGGATAAATTGGATAGAAAGGTGGAGGGAGGAAATATCATTCTTAAGCTAGACATTATGAAAGCTTTTGATAGATTGGAATGAGACTTTCTAAAGAAGACTCTTTCTGCATTTGGTTTTTCAGAATTATTTGTCTTGCTTATTTCTCACTGTCTTGCTAATCAGCATAACACACTAATTTTAAATGGCCAAAGACATGGATTTTTTCCAATTACAAGAGGAGTGAGGCAAGGAGATCCAATGTCTCCTACATTATTTATTTTAGCTGGGGAAGTCTTGAGGAATTTGTATTAGCTGGGTAA